GGGAGCTATATCCAAATCTGAACCGATCTCGATAAAATTTTGCAAATGTATTTCTGAGCTGTATTTGATATATTTCCCCAAATATTGTTGTTACAGAATGCATATTACGGCTGCGGAGGACAAAATAACAAATCGGATGAACAATATATATGGGAGCTATAGCTATATCTGAAACGATTCCGATCAAATTTGGCATACTTATTTTCATGTCCAATCTGATCGTACGTGCAAAATTCCATACTATTCGGACTGATATTACACGTTTGGTGCACAATAAAAGGCAAATCGGTCAAAGTTATATATGGGAGCTATATCTCAATTTTGACCGATTATCTCAAATTTGAATAGGGTTCGTCCTTGGGCTAAACAAATGATTTGTGCAAAATTTCATCTGGATAGGACAATAAATGCGAACTGTACGTTATTTACAAAAATACATGGACAGACGGGCGGACAGGCGGACGGACGGACATGCATAAATCGACTCAGAATGTGATTCTATGCAGATCATCAAAGGAACTATGGGTCTATCTCGTTTCCTTTTGCCTGTTACAAACAAATGTACAAAGACATAATACCCTGACCACCTTGTGGTGTAGGGTATAATTATATAGATCGAAATCACGACCGTTTTCCTTGACTACTTAATAGGATCTTTCAAACTGGATAATGTTGGCTATTTTATTGATCTTGCGTTATTTTAGATGGTAAACTGCGCTTCAATTTGCACATCGAGTCTTGTGTCAACAAAGCGAAATCAATATTAGGGTTTATAAAACGATGGTCTAAGGATTTGACGATCCGTATATGACTAAACGCTTGTTTGTAAGTCTGGTTCGGCCTACATTAGATATGGTTGTGTATTATGGAGCTCTTATTAAAATGCTATTCAAATAAAATCGAATATGTCCAAACACAATTTCTCGTATTTGCTCTCAGAGGGTTGCATTGGAATACAGATGAAACCTCCCCCTTATAAACAACGCTTAAAAACTTATTGATCTCCCTACTTCAGAACGGAGACTTTTACGTGGTTCTATTGATTCCAAATTGTTAATTCAGTGAAATAAACTCGGGTTTTACTAGTAATTATATGCCTCTTATATGAAGACGTGGATCTGCACAGCCAATGTTCTTCATATGAAATGCAGGTTAGATCATCAAAATACAGAATATAGGAAGGCACTGAAAATAGGAGACGCGAACATATATAAGCAACTTTCTGTCTGTAAAAGTCGAATTCCGGTAAAGCATTTTGATTTTGCAATATATTCAGGCTTAATCCCATATTGTTCCTTTTTTTTTTGTAAAATCAAGCTTTGTTTATTAGTGGAGAAAGATGGTAATGTTACCAGGAGGTAAGGCTGGGAATAGCTAGGTTTCGGAAAGATCCATCAATTCTCATTAGTTCCTTTGGTTTTCGTCTGGGATATTCTCCCGATGAGTTATTTTAAAATTAACTCCTATGACAAAAACATTTTTTACCCAAATGACGAGATCGTATGCTCAATTGAAGAGAAACCAATAATTATAATTATCGAACATTCTTTCATGTGGATGACGCTAATTCAAAGCGTATTATTTAAATAGTTATGTCTCGTTCCGCCAATTACCCTCCAGATTGCAAAATATAATTGAATGGTTTCTGCAACTCATATACATCAACATTGTATTGAAGAGTGAAGTTGGAAGTTGCGTTTACTCAAACTTGCTTATGGGCAAATCTAAGGTTGCACCGTTGAAGATGTCATTGCATCGTTTGTAGCTCTGTGTGGCTCTTCTGCTTGCGGAATTAGTATATACGATTATCAACTAGATCTGCCGAAGTCGTCGTTGGTTGATTGGCCTGAATCAGCTATCATGCTGTCGTGTATTTTTCCTTGACGAACTTGACGATAAAAAACATAAAATGGGTGGAGTCGTTATATGGGTGCCATTCCAAAACGGAAACCCATGTAGACAATATTATGCTACAAATAATTTTATATATTGCTATTCTTAAATACCAAACCTGAAACAATTTCGTTTGTAAACGTGGCTAAGATTAAAAAACTACAAATACAAATTTTAGACAAATCCTTAAAAAAATTTGGCTAAAACCATTCAAATACCGAATATTAGCAAGAACCATTATATGGATACTATACTGAAACCGGGAGGATATATTAAACGGGACTCGTTAACCCCGAATGGATGGCGGCTCGGTCGGCTAATTAACCGTCACAAAGTTCAAGGCAATCGTATAAAAATGGTATACTTGAAACCCAAAATGGCAAAATTTCTCGCATTGTGCACAAATAAGTTAACTTTCTCATTCTTTGTTTCTAGGCCTTCCTTTTTTGCTTTTGAGCCTTCTTAAATTATAAGGCATAGTTTGGTTTTTTTATTATTTCAACTGGTTTCTTTATTAATTTCATGGAGGAGCAACTTAGGTTTTAGGATAACTAGGTTTAAGATTGGTATAATTTATTATAGGTTTTATTTCATTTAGTTTTTAAATTTGTACACTTTAATAATAATTCAGTTTTATTTCATTAGATTCTAAGGTTTAAGTACAAATATTAGCATATAAGTTTTTATTATGTATGTGTATGTTTTTGTACAATTTTTCCACTTTTTTGTTGTACGTTGTAGAACGTCTTTGTAAAGAATTTTAACAATTGTGCAACGTTCTTATTTTTTTAATGATAATACCTCTTGTTTAATTTAGATTGGTAATTATTATTTTGTAACGTTAAAAATGGGTTAACGCGTTATTAATTTGTAAATGATTCGTTTAGATCTATCAACGTAAATGTAAACAGATTTCAACGAGTGGCGAATGCGCCAAAGCCTCCACCTTCCTTCATGTTATGATCATGGAATTTGACACTCGTCTCTTCTATATCTCGGTACGAAGTCGCGCTCCCCGATATTGTGCAAACCAGGTAATCTGTCTTACCAATTATTAATTATTATTATGATTATTAATAAACACGGCCTTTGCCATTATTCTTTAGAACTAAAATCCCCCTATTCTGTTTTTTATTTATTTATTGATTTGAGCTTTGCATATTTCCCCGCATTGGCGCAAACATTCGTCCATTCGTACCGAATTACGAACGACCTGTTGGAAAAATAAGTAATCGTTTTTTTTCTTCTAATTGCAACGAATAAACATCATCATCACCATCGATACAGTCCACCACATCATCTCCTTATCATCATCGTCGTGTTTCCATCAAAAACAACCAGGTACGTACAGTGAAAAAAGTGCAAGTGAATTTAAATAAATATATTCTTGAAGAGAAAAAAAAAATATCGAAACAAATTGTGTAAAAACAACAACAATCGTGTCGTTGATATTCTTTGTGGCCGTCTTTACCCCGCCCCTTCGTCTAGTTTGCAAATATTGTTTTGCCGACGGAAAATTGAAAATAAGAAAAATCAAAATAATTTTTTGAATTATTGTTAAAAATAAAATATTGTTGTGCGGTGTCATTTTAATGTGCATCAAATTCCCCATCGATTGGTATAATTGAAATTTTAAAATTGTTAAATTTTTACAAAATTGCATTTTTAATATTTTAAATATTTTTCACAAATCACCCCCAAAAATACATATAAAATAGGTACAGCCATAGAAATTGTTTAATTTACAATTAATCTAAGCCTAAAATGCAACTCGTCATTATTTCTAATAATTTGCCATCATACCATTTTATTCAACTTTGAACTTTCGTTCAAAGTTAGCGATGGCAAATTCTAACGAGTATTATCTGTCAATTTGCGCGTCTCTTGAGACATCTTGGCTTTCTCGTTGCTTTTTCTTCACTTGTTTTACGGATCTTCGTCCTAACAACATCGCTGCAACACCAATTGTACAAAAAGGTAAAATTATATTAGTTATTCGACTAATATAATAACATAATAAAACCGCCAATTTTTTAATTTCAAAAATATTAATTTTACCGTGTTTTATTTCCTTCTTTTTATTTACACTGCTCCGCAACATTTTTGGTCACTTCGAACCGAGATACGGGCTTTCCAGCAACAACAACTAATCTGGTTCCTTTTTTATTCAAAGGGTTTGACTTCAACAGCAAACAACCATCATCAACTCTCGCATCATCTGAACACTCATCTTCATCATCATTTATTTTCATAAATTCATCTATACATCACTAAAAGGTACGTACCGTCATTTTTAGTGAGCATACGCGAGTGTTCAATAAAAAAAAATATTCTCAAATAAAATATTAAATTCAATACAAAAACAAATACAGCGCTTAACTACGGTCGTTCGTTTCGTTTGCTTAAGTGTCCGTCCGTCGGTAATTCGCTTTTTCGTAATTTCCAACAGTGCCGGTTTCTCATTGTGTGTAATAATTCTCTTCAAGAATATTACACTCATAATACATTTGCACATATTCGCTCTTATTTACGATATACGCGTAAAAAGAAATAAAAAGTGTGGTGCAAATAAATAAGCAGTGATCTGTGATTTACATTGTTGTTGTGATTGGTGCTTTTGTGTTTTTCAACACAAAAGAGAATTCAAATTACAATAACAACATACTAGTGGTTAGTACAACAACAACAATACGATCACATATCAGTGCTGTATGCTTGTGGTTGACTGACTTGTGTTAGGTAGTCAGTAACCACCACACCGTGTAATAGGTGTGTTCATTACAAAAAGTGAAAATTGTTTATTAGGTCCGTTCGGACCAAAATTAAAAAATATTTTTTTTTCAAAAATTTTAATTTTTCTTAAAAGTTTTAACGGTTCTGTTGGAAATTAACTATTTCGTTAATGAATTCACCCTACATTCGGTCGTTTTGTATTTTGCTATAATAATATTCGTTATTATATATTATAAAACGATTTTTATATACTTTTTTGAATATTTAAATATTTATAATAATATTTTATTCATTCTTGATTGCGATTTTGGTTTGTAACATTTTTGGTCCTTCGAGCCGGATACGGGCTTTCCAGCAACAACAACTAATCTGGTTCCTTTTTTATTCAAAGGGTTTGACTTCAACAGCAAACAACCATCATCAACTCTCGCATCATCTGAACACTCATCTTCATCATCATTTATTTTCATAAATTCATCTATACATCACTAAAAGGTACGTACCGTCATTTTTAGTGAGCATACGCGAGTGTTCAATAAAAAAAATATTCTCAAATAAAATATTAAATTCAATACAAAAACAAATACAGCGCTTAACTACGGTCGTTCGTTTCGTTTGCTTAAGTGTCCGTCCGTCGGTAATTCGCTTTTTCGTAATTTCCAACAGTGCCGGTTTCTCATTGTGTGTAATAATTCTCTTCAAGAATATTACACTCATAATACATTTGCACATATTCGCTCTTATTTACGATATACGCGTAAAAAGAAATAAAAAGTGTGGTGCAAATAAATAAGCAGTGATCTGTGATTTACATTGTTGTTGTGATTGGTGCTTTTGTGTTTTTCAACACAAAAGAGAATTCAAATTACAATAACAACATACTAGTGGTTAGTACAACAACAACAATACGATCACATATCAGTGCTGTATGCTTGTGGTTGACTGACTTGTGTTAGGTAGTCAGTAACCACCACACCGTGTAATAGGTGTGTTCATTACAAAAAGTGAAAATTGTTTATTAGGTCCGTTCGGACCAAAATTAAAAAATATTTTTTTTTCAAAAATTTTAATTTTTCTTAAAAGTTTTAACGGTTCTGTTGGAAATTAACTATTTCGTAATGAATTCACCCTACATTCGGTCGTTTTGTATTTTGCTATAATAATATTCGTTATTATATATTATAAAACGATTTTTATATACTTTTTTGAATATTTAAATATTTATAATAATATTTTATTCATTCTTGATTGCGATTTTGGTTTGTAGCGTGCATTTTACAGTCCGTGCACCCTACATTTGGTCATAAATTCAAGAAAAAAAAAATTTACAGATTTTTTGCGATTTTTTGGGTAATTTATTCTTGTTTTTTAAATTATTTCTTTTCGGAAATAATTTTCTCGTGTATTATTCAATACACATAACTTAATTTGCAGTATTCTTCGATACATATAAACAAAACAACGTGTATTATTCGATACACAGTGAAAATATATACGATTTTCACTACATCGAGAAAGAGTATTTTATATTTTTTCTCATTTATATCAATTGTTTTCTTTTTAAAGCTTCGCTTAAAAAGTAATATTCTTTGTTTTGGTGTTGCAATTGTTAGTATTCGCTAACAAATAAAATCATTTACTTGAAATTTTGAAGTTTCTATAAAATTGAAAAACATTTTGTATCCATTTTACTTGATTTTCATCCAGTAAAACTTTTTTGATTATTCAAGATGTCACTTTCTACACTTGATTATTTTATCAGATCAACTGATGCTATCATTCAATTCGAAAGCAGCTTCAATGCTCTTCGAGATGAAGATCTCGATATTTACATTCTTGAAGTTCAATCTTCTGAAGCTAAGTCGCTTTGGGATAAAGTGAAAGATACGTATGACAAATGCCTTACGTCAATCAAACTTGCTGGCGAGGACCAAGAAACGGACCTCGAATCAGCACAAAGTAAATATAATGCTGCATTTAAGGCATATGTCAACGTAATTGCATCAACCAATAGAAAATTGGATCAGCTTCGTGCTTCGCAAAAGCCCTCCAATTCTTCTTCAATCCAATCTCTACGTTCAAACTCTGATCATTTATCCCAAACAAATCCTCCTTCGAATTTGAATTCCAACTTCTCTAGTACTCCTAGAAGAGATGCCTCCCATCCTGATGATATTCTCTCGTTGTCTGGTGTTTCACACCAAACGGGAAGGTCAATTGAAGTTTTCGCTTCAAATGACAATGTCATGCATAGTTTAAATCTTCCGCCTTGCGATATTGATGTTTTTAATGGTGACTTTCTTTCGTGGCCTACATTCAGAGATCTTTTTTCGGCGGTTTATATCAACAACAGCCGCCTTAGTAACATTGAAAAACTATGTTACTTGTTGAAAAAAACTAGTGGTGAAGCGAAAGATGTTATTTCAAAGTTCCCTTTGACGCATAGAAGTTTTGATTTAGCGTGGCAAGCATTGAAGGAGGCATATGACAATGTCCGTATATTAGTTAACAATCAACTTAAATTACTTTTTGATCTTCCGGTTCTTGACAATGAGTCATCTTCGGGTTTAAAAAATCTTCAGCGGGCAATCAATGGATGCATATCGGCTATGGCGATCTACGACGTTTCTACGAACGATTGGGATCCCATATTAGTCTTTTTATGCATACAAAGATTACCTAAAAACACCGTCTCATTGTGGGAACAGACGGTCAAAAACAAATCGGTATTGTCATCTTGGAAGGATTTGGATCATTTCCTTACGGAACGGATTCAAACCCTTACGTGTCTCCGAGATATTCGTGGCATAGATTCCTCTAGAAATCTGAAAAGAAGGTGCGAGCTCATTTTACGAAGACAGCTCCTTCTGTTAATTCTTCTCATGGTCCTTCAGGTAGAGTGTGCGTTCTTTGTCCGAAATCTGTTCATCCTTTGCGTTTGTGTCCAGAATTCAACAAATTATCAGTAGAAGGTCGCTTTTCAGTACTCAAACGGTTCAATTGTTGTATTAATTGTCTTACGATTGGTCATGAGGTCAAAAAATGTGTAAGTAAACATAACTGCGGCAAATGCAACAAGCGGCATCACACTCTTTTACATCGTGCGATGTCCAATACTGCATTTCCCGTTCCATCAACGACTTCTCCGAGGTCGATTTCAAACCAACCTTCTTCCCAATCTAGCAATGCGAATCCAAATCTTCCCTCGACTTCGTCAGGTGTATCGCACTCTGCCAATAGGCAAGTGTATCATATTTCGCACAACAAAAATGTTATTTTAGGTACAGCAATGGTTCATTTAATTCATCAAGGTATAACATACCCTGCTCGTGCCTTAATTGACCCAGCTTCTGAAGCTTCCTTCATTACTGAAAACTTACAACGTCGTCTTGGTATTTCTACTACGTCGACACAAGCTACTATTTCTGGCATTAACCAAACCTTCTCCACTACATCAGGCAAATTGTGTTCGTTATGCATAGGTTCTCCTATCGATACATCAATATTCATGGAATTGTCAGCATTAGTGGTTCCCGCTATTTCTGGCAATTTACCATCTTTTTCACTTGGTGGTGACTTAATTTCCCGTTTGCCAAATATTCGTTTGGCTGATAGAAATTTCTATGAATCTAGATCAGTTGATCTACTCCTAGGCGCTGATTTATATCCTAGAATTCTTCTTCGAGGAATTCAATCCAACATTTTAGGGTCATTAATGGCTCAAAATACTGTTTTTGGCTGGATCATTACTGGTCCAATTCCCTCTTCCAACATAACGGTATTAACTACCACAATAAATTATTCCGAAGATAATCTTAACAAGACACTTCTTCGATTCTGGGAATTGGAAGAACCCCCAAAGCGCGCAATTCTGTCTCCTTCGGACAAGTTTTGTGAGGAAAATTACAAAAATACAACGTGTCGGGACTCAGATGGCAGATATATTGTCAAACTTCCCATTATACCAGAATTCTCAGGTCAGCTTGGTCATTCCAGGACCAATTGTTTACGTCAATTTTTCCGTAATGAGGCTTCCCTCATTAGAAAACCACAAATTAAAACCATGTACGATGGGGTAGTCCGGGAATATTTAGAATTAGACCACATGAGACTGGTTTCGACTTCGTCAGCAAGCTCTACGGTTTGCTACCTACCTCACCATCCGGTTATTAATCCGGATAAACAAACAACTAAATTGCGTGTGGTTTTCAATGCCTCAAACAAGACTTCTAATGGGAATAGTCTAAATGATATTCTTTATGTCGGCCCAACTCTTCAGTTGGATTTAGTCCTCCTTATTCTAAGATGGAGACTTTTCAAATTTGTTTTTAACTGCGACATAACACAAATGTACAGACAAATTAGAGTAGATCCTGCTCACACCCCCCTCCAAAGAATTGTTTTTCGGGATTCTCCCAACAAGCCGGTTCAAGATTTTGAACTTCAAACCGTAACATTCGGAGTAAATTGTGCTCCATATCTTGCCATTCGGACCTTACTGCGATTGGCCGATGACACAGAAAATGAATTTCCATTAGCTGCACATATCCTTCGGAAGTGCATGTACGTAGATGACGTCTTAACCGGCTATCACGATTTGGAGACAGCGCACAAATCTAGAGACCAACTAATTGGTGCTCTATCTTCCGCAAAATTTGAATTACGTAAATGGACAGCCAATGATCGCAGTATTTTACAACCACTTCCTTCAGATCATCTTTACGACGCTCAGCTTCTAACTTTCGTAGAAGCTAGCAGTTCAAAACCGCTGGGTATTCGTTGGAATGCACAGCTGGACCATTTTTATTTCAGTGTAAACGCGCTGGAACATCGGTCCAAATATACTAAGCGGGAAGTTTTGTCAACTATCGCAAAATTATTTGATCCAGTTGGATGGCTAGGACCAGTTATAGTGGTCGCAAAAATAATTATGCAACGTATCTGGCTCGACAACATTGGGTGGGATGATTCGCTTCCGTCTTCGACGGAACGTGAATGGCAGAAATTCGTTGAATCCTATCTTGACGTCAATTCGATTTCTATTCCTCGTTGGGTCCAATATTCTCCGAATTCCCAAGTCGAACTTCATGTCTTTTCTGATGCCTCAGAAAAGGCATACGCGGGGGTAGCTTACATTCGTGTTATAGATTCAAATGGCACCATTTTCACAAATCTTCTATCATGTAAAACAAAAGTAGCTCCGCTCAAATCTATTTCTTTACCTCGTTTAGAATTATGCGGTGCAGTGCTGGCATCCGAACTTCTAAAAGGCATTCTAAACGAGATTGATATTTCTTTTAACAAAATTTATTGCTGGACAGATTCAACAATTGTGCTTTCTTGGCTTCAAAAAACGCCATCAACATGGTCTACTTTCGTAGCAAATAGGGTCTGTCGTATTCAGGAGAATGTTGGGCAAAATAAGTGGTTCCACGTTCGGTCTGAGGACAATCCTGCAGACTTAGGCAGTCGGGGGCTTTCTCCTTCGGAGTTGGCTTCATCACAAATTTGGTGGCATGGGCCACAATGGCTAGGTCTTGATAGTTCAACTTGGAATATTCAAAACGTTTCGCTTGATACTGTTGTCGAACTTCGCCCAGTTAAAAGTCATGTAACTTTTATACAAAACTATGAAGATATCTTAAATCGATTCTCTTCCATAGATACGGCGCTCCGCGCCATTGCATGTATTCTAAGGTTTTTCCATAATACACATTCAGCTCATCGAGGCAAATATCAGTTTGAAGGTTCCACCCCCACTAATGCTGAAATCCAAGCAGTCAAATTCCGTCTGGCTGCTTTAGCTCAAAAATCATTCTATTCTGAGGAATACTATGCGTTACTACACAAAAAGCCACTCAATTCGAAGAGTTCAATTTTATCCTTAAATCCATTTCTGGATGAAACAGGGGTAATGCGCTTAAATGGACGCCTTGCACAGTGTCCAACTCTTTCCACTTCTGAACGTCATCCAATTTTGTTACCATACCATAGTAGATTCGCAGAACTTTTGTTGGAACAAATTCACATAGAGTCTATGCACGGAGGAAACCAATTAATGCTTCGCATTCTTCGTCTGGAATATTGGATTCCTCGTGCTACTTCGTTGATTAGAAAAACCATAAGGCACTGTAAAATATGCATTTTAGCGAAAAAACGTACATGTACACAAATCATGGCATCTCTTCCTCCGGAGAGAACTATTTTGTCCAGACCTTTCTCTACTACAGGTATCGATTTCGCTGGACCATTTGATATCAAATCCTTTACAGGTAGATATTGCAAAATTACAAAAGGTTATGTTTGCGTTTTTGTGTGCTTTTCTACGAAAGCAATTCATTTAGAACCATCTTCTGATTTATCCACGGAAACATTTTTAGCAGCCTTTTATAGGTTTATTTCACGCCGTGGATGTCCCAAGACTATCTTCTCGGATAATGGTACCAATTTCATTGGTGCATCTCGAGAGTTAGAACGAGAATTCAAACTTGCATTAAATGACATCCGTAATAAACTTCGTTGTAAATTTCAATACCAGGAGCTTTCCTGGAAGTTTAACCCTGCCGGAGCTCCACATATGGGTGGACTCTGGGAAGCTGCTGTCAAAAGCTTCAAAACTCATTTTAGAAAAATTACTAAAAATCTTAAATTTACATTTGAAGAGTTTTCGACAATACTAACGAGAATAGAAGCTTGTTTAAATTCTCGTCCTCTCTGTCCTATGAATGATAGTCTTGATGATATGGTGGCGCTTACGCCTGGACATTTTCTTGTCGGGTCTCCAATCCTTGCTCCCCCAGAGCCTATCATAAACGAATCTCCTTTGGATATCGTGAACCGGTATCGAAAACTGAAAGCGCTCTCTCAACAATTCTGCCTTCGGTGGAAAGATGAATATTTAAAGAGCCTCCACCATCGCTATAAGTGGAAATTTCCGCAACGCGATATTCAAACGGATGATTTAGTAGTTCTTCGACATGAACAACTACCTCCCACTTCGTGGAAACTCGGTCGCGTCGTTAAAGTCTATCCGGGAATCGACGGTCATGTTAGAGTCGCGGACGTGAAAACGGAAAACGGTATCGTAAAACGACCCGTAGTTAAGCTTGTCATTCTGACCGACCAAGAATAGATAGTTGTTCTCTCTTCACTGCGCCATCTCCATTTTTTCGCAGATATGGAAAACTTGAGCACGATGGCCGCTTCCCTCCCAATTGTGGATGACAACATCCCAATGTCGGATGAAGAGAGAGAGTTTGAAGACAACAATGTGGCTCCTTTAGGATCACAAGACTCGGCTTTTAAAGAGATTATAGAAGCTCCTAATCAGGAGTCTGCTCCGGGTCTTCAAGCCTGCCAAACCAGCCCATCGGCTGACAAGAAGATGGTTGCTTCTCCTCATCGGGAGAATAGCACAGCAACTGTGGCTCTCCCCAGCACCGCATCGGTTGTCTCTCCTCATCAGGAGAATTGCACGGCAACTGTTGTGACCAATCCGGGATTTTCGTCCCAAATGGCGGTTGACACCCTTCCGGTACTTCTGCCCAATATCGAAGAAGTAGGACCCGCTTCTCCTCATCGGGAGATTGCACGAGCTTGTTCTGCTTCAACTTGGACTATTCCTTCGGCGTCTCCCCATCGGGAGCTTGCACACGCCAGGGATGAACAACCTACAAATAGTACAGCCACAATTCCTTGTTGTAATCGACCAGTGGCAGGACCTAATCGTCCTCAGGGTCCGAAATGCCTAATGTGTATGCAGAGGCATTTCTTGAAGGATTGTCCTGATTTTCACAAGCTTCCTTGTGAGAAAAAGATTCGTTTTGTGGTCCAGAATAACTTCTGTTCGAATTGCTTGACTCGGTCCCACATTCTCAGAGATTGCTTCAGTATTCGACGATGCAAGAAGTGTGGCAGTAACCACCACACACTTCTTCACTCCAACCAAATATTACATGGAAAAGTCCGCCCTTCGGGTAGTAGAGACTATACGTCTCGTGCATTTAATTCGTCGCCCTCGTCCAATTCAATTTCGTCCGCTAAAATAAAGACCTCTGCTAAACGTCCGTCTGTTCGCTCTCATCCGATATCGTCCGCCCCTTCGGGCGCCGTCCGTCCGATAGTTCAGTCCATACAGCCCATTGTGACTCTGGGGCCTACAATGGTGGTACAAATTGTTCTTCCGGACCGAAAAGTACCAGTTCGAGCGCTATTGGATCCTTGTGCTGGACATAGTCGAATTTGCTCAACGCTGACTAGTAAACTCCAGCTCAGCTCCTTAAACGTTGGCCAGGATTTGTTCTGCCAACTGACTTTACAGTCTTTTCACGACCAGACGCAGCTGCTTCGTGTATCCGCACTAAGCATGCCCTTGAGACATGTGGTCACTCCTGCGCAATCTGCTCCAGACCTAATAAAGGACCACTATGCTGGGATGCAACTAGCAGATCCCGAATTCTACAAGTCCGCTCACATCGCACTAATTCTTGGTCCAGATGTGTACCCGAAGGTGATAAAATCTCAAACCCATTCGAGCCCAGGGTTCCCTTGGGCTCAACTTACTATCTTTGGTTGGGTGGTATCCGGTCCTTGCCCACTGTGAAGTTGCCCGAGATGATCGGCCTAAATCGAGACCCATGGTCTAAAATTTGTTGAAGGCAATCTTCTATTGCCTTGATGGTTCATCGACCATCACTTGTTTTTGAAAAAATTGAAAAAAAATAAATAAATAAAAAAACTGAATAAAGAATGCTCAAAAAATTGACGGTTATACCTTTCATTTATTTGTATTTTAATCTTTAGATCTAAGCATTATTGTTGTAACATACCTAGATGTTTCAAGGGCGGCGGTAATGTTTAATTTACAATTAAATCTAAGCCTAAAATGCAACTCGTCATTATTTCTAATAATTTGCCATCATACCATTTTATTCAACTTTGAACTTTCGTTCAAAGTTAGCGATGGCAAATTCTAACGAGTATTATCTGTCAATTTGCGCGTCTCTTGAGACATCTTGGCTTTCTCGTTGTTTTTTCTTCACTTGTTTTACGGATCTTCGTCCTAACAACATCGCTGCAACACCAATTGTACAAAAAGGTAAAATTATATTAGTTATTCGACTAATATAATAACATAATAAAACCGCCAATTTTTTAATTTCAAAAATATTAATTTTACCGTGTTTTATTTCCTTCTTTTTATTTACACTGCTCCGCAACAGAAATCATACGGTTAATATTGTTGCTTAGTCGGTCAGCCGCTTGGCACACATATAAGTTAAGTATTTTGGGTATTTGTATGGTGTTGTTACACCTTCTTTATTCCAGTTCTCTTATCAAACTAACTTATTAAGATACTTAAAGCTATGAATAAACTTATAATTATTGTTTTCTACTGCTGACTCTGCGCCTTTTTGTGGAGTATTATATTGCAATACGTTGAGTAAATGCTCGTATGTTTGGTGTTGGCTAAGCAATGATGATGAATATAATTGCTGACACTGTGCCTCGTGTGGAGTGTTGCATTGCAATATTATTATAGTTCGCCATCGTTTGACCAAAGTATTAGGGTGGGACAATGGAGATTGTGTTAACTCCTCCACTACTTAAGTAAGGGCCGTCCTCGGGTCTTTTGTAGCTATCAATGACAGCTTCAATAACATCGCGTTTTACTGTTCGTCTTCGACACAATTTGAATGAAAAATAAAGACTGATGATTAAAATAATGCTTATAAGTCCAGAGACCGCTGGACAGGTTAATGTCCTGTTCTTCACGACATCGATGTGTTGTAAGTTTTCAAAATTTAATCTTTGAAGATACGGCAGGCTCAATATCTCTTGATGACTTGTGATATTAACTATAGTAGATAAGCCGACGTCGGTACCATCTTCAGTACCATCTTCTGGTTTTTGTATATGGAGTCATTAATACTGATTTCATCTTCAAACGTAATCAAATATGTACCGGTAATTATTATTACGGTTCCTTCTGGGTTTTTTATAGTGGCTCTGTTGTCGTTTATTATCATGACGCCATCATCGACAATCTCCAATGGTTCAAGATGACTTGGTCTTGTGCTGCAGTGTGCTATAGTACCCGAATGAAGCTGTTGAGCACAAGTTGGTTGAGAATATTCTTGACAAAATGATGAAGTTAGCGTTGAGGTACAGTTTCCTATTGCAATTATACGATTTCCACAATTAGTGACGCTGTTGGTTTCAGCAAGATGTAGTATTGTGCCATTATGTTGGACGGGGTGCATAATTATTTTCTTATATACTGATTTGGGCTTGGGATATTTAATAAGAAAATGCAACAATATTTCGTATAAATACCCTGTATGAATTTGTTCAGGTTTTGCGTTTCCAATAATTTTGTTGACAACATCTGTTAACTTATTTATCTGATCCTGTGTTTTAGAGTTGATTGAAACCTGTTTGTTAATTGAATTTATAAGTTACTTCTGTCGAAATTTCTGTTCCTCAAAGTCGTCAAAATCGGGAGTCCCCGCTATTATTTTTAGTGCTGTTGCCAAGATGTTAATACTTCTCGCGTGTCTGTGGTGAACATACAATGATTGTAGAAGGGAGCGTATTTGCTTAATATCAGACTCGAGTATTTTCACCATATGCGAGGAGGGGAAATGTTCCATAAGTTTTTCGGTTTCGTCAACAATTTCCAAATATATTGTCCGATTTGATGTATGTCGTAAGTAGTCAAAGTCCTGCCAAATTATAACATCCCCATCTTCAATCGGTATGTAGTCGGAGCCAGAATAGTCAATTAATTTTGTGGTAAGGGGTCTGATAAGCAACATCATCAAAGTCCTAAAATTTGTTTAAAAGAGTTGTTAATTATAATCGGATTATACAAATTTTGAATTATTTTATCTTGTCCTTGTGGACCACCCTCCCTCTAATAAGAACCGTAGTTCCTAGATCGGCTTCTATTGTTTCTTCAGAGTATAACGGGGTCAATTTGTTTCCTAGCCTTTTGTTGTTTTTCACTAGTACGGACTCACCAACTTCACATGTTCTATTTTGCCTGGAGGCATTGTTTCTTTTCTTTTGAAATTTTTTCTTTAATTTCCTCCCTTAATTCGGATGAGGAAAATTGGAAAATATCTATCGGTCGTTTGTTGGTTATTGAGTGAATAGTCCGATTATATTTTATGGTTGCTAGTAAAATAAGGTCAGGTTCGTTGTCATAGTAAATATTTTCCGTGTGTTGAAAAAGATTCATTAGTTGTATAATCGGGCCTTTTAAATCTATTATTGTACGAGATGGAATATGTTGAACAACCGCAAACTTTGAAAATTTATCGATGCATGTTAGAAAAAAATTTTTATCCGTTGAAAATACATCGAGATGAAGCATTTCGCCTACGTAAGATGGTGTTGGGTTTACCCCAAGCTCATGTTTCATAGGGTGTCTGTCGTATTTAGCACTCGAACAGATTTTACAATTTGTAGCAATTTCATTTGCCAACTTTGCCATTTTTGGAAAATAATAATCAGAAAGTATCTGCTTAACATTTTCCTGGGCTGCCCTATGGGCACGGTTATGTTCGATGGCAATAATTTCCCCATGTTCATTTTTATCAAAAATGTCCTGAACAAAATTTTTGCAGTGCCAAAATTTAGTAGCGGGAAAGTATCTAACCAATTCATGCTGAATACAGGCTAAAGTTGGCAGATCGCAATGCATTGCATTTACGACATTTGGATTGATCACTGATTTTTCTTCGTTTAGAAATTTTTCCCTGCTTGTGAAGTCAATCATATGTCGAGTCTTCTCAGTAAAGACAATAAAATTTCTTTTAAGTAGGGCGTCCGCCACATAATTCTCCTTTCCAGGTTTATAAATAAATTTGGCATCATGTTCGTCAACAAATGCTGCCCACCGTTTTATCTTAGCATTCGGATTTCTATCAGAGACTGAAAATGTAAGTGGTTGGTGGTCTGTGTAAATATTTAAATAACTTACTCCATATATAAAATTCCTCAATTTTTGAAGAGCCCAAACAATAGCTAAGAGCTCTCGCTCATTAGTGGCATAGTTTTGCTCTTTATCGTTAAGGGTTCTGGAAATCATGGTGATTGACCTCCCCCCTTGTGAGAGAACTGCTCCCAGACGCAATGAAGAGGCGTCTGTTGTAAGATCAAAAGGTTTTTTGAAGTCAGGATAAAGAAGCATAACTTCTTCAGAAGCAAGGATTTCCTTTAATTTTCTAAAGGTCTGCATTTGCTCTTCATTAAAATTTATTTTCACCCTTTTTGATTGAGAAGCACTAATCTTGCCGTTTTCGCCCTTTAGAATATCTGTTAGCGGCTTGGCTATAGATGCGAAATCTTTAATAAAGCATCTGTAATAACTTGCCAATCTTAGAAACGACCTTACGTTGAAGAGTGTAGAAGGTGTTTCATAATTAAGGATGGCCTTTCCTTTTTCCGGGCTCGTTCTAATGCCATTTCTGGACACAAAAAAACCGAGGTATTCGACACTTTCCCGAAAGAAATGTGATTTTTCCCGAGAAATTCTCATATTGGCACCGTATAATCTCTCCAGTACCTACTCAAATGTTTCACACGGTCTTCTTCGGTTTCAGAGAAAATAATGACGTCGTCGACGTAAACATAGCATGACTTTCCAATTTGCTCTCTCAAGACATCATCGATGGCCCTTTGGAAAATGGTGGGGATATTCTTCAGACCAAAAGGAAGACGGCAAAATTCATATTTTCCATTTCCAACTGAGAATGCAGTTTTTTCACGATCTTGTTCAGATAGTGTTATTTGATGGAAACCTGATTTAAGGTCAAGTGTCGTAAAAAATCTTGCTTTGCCAAGATTTGAGAGAATGACGGGTATTTGGGGTATTGGGTATTTGTCATCGATCGTAATGCTGTTCAGTTTCCTGAAGTCTATAACTAATCGTTTTTTGGAATTATCGTATTTATCCTTGCCTTTTTTATCAACAACCCAAACGGGATTATTGTAGGGTGATCTGGAAGGCCGTATTATGCCGTTATGCAGAAGTTCTTTTACTTCATTGTTAACAAAATCTGCTACACCCATGGGATATGGGTATAGTTTTGTATAAACGGGATCACTAGAATTAGTTCTAATGGTAGCTACAATATTCGTATTATATGGAAGTGATTCTTTGGGGTTTGCAAAAACACCCGAAATTTTTTTTATTCCTTCCTTAAATTTTTCCGCAACGATTTGAGGTATTTTCATGTCCTCAACTTGTGCAAAATTTACATTTACGCATTGTAAAAATTAAATCTTTTCGATCCCAACTATAGTTTTAAGTTCCCTACTTTCAAAATTCAACGTTGCACCTGTCTGTGTTAATAGATCCACGCCAATTGTACCATCAAACGTTGATAGTGATGGTAAGATAACAAAAATTACTATTGGTTTGAAAAATATTTATGGTACATTTTTCCTTAATTGCTGTGAAACCATGAATAGATTTCACTATGAACGGGTTGGCTACGGGAATAATACCTTTTAAACCTTTTATAGGTTTGATATAATTCTTCGAAGCCCCCGTATCAATATGCAATTTTATGATTTTCCCTGCCACTTTCCTTTCTATAAATAGTAGCAGGGAGTTGTGCCTAAAAAAGTAATCTGGTCAAATTCAAATTCATCCCCAGCATCGATTACAATATCGTCTGCTTCGGTTTCTGCCATTTGATGGTAGTCTTGACCACATCCGGACTCATCTTGAGAAATGTGATTAATTCTCTGATGTTTTAGCCCAGTGTATTTTGCCGTACCACTGTTGGGTCTTTTCACGGCCTGCCAATTTGGTCGATTTTGGAACGGCTGTGGTAGGTTCTGATTTTGGTCGTATTGATTCTGAGGTAAGCCCTGTGTATATGGCTTGAATTTAGTTGATTGTCTGAATCGCATAGATTCATCGACCTCCATGGGTTCTATTTGATTATTTTCGTTCTTGTTTGAACGATTTGAATTTCTTTTAGAAAAGTACGGATTTCTACTTTGAACATTTCCGTGAGAGAAATGTGTTTCATACTTATACTTATCTCTGTCCTCGCGTGATTTAGCGAAGTTTGACGCGAATTGGTATCTTTTCCGATTTGACTCAACCTCTTGGGCCAATGCCAATGCTGATGGTAAGTCGGATGGACGAACGGA